TTTTCCATAATAAGTCTACTGATAGCACCGGCCGTACCACTAGGAGAGTCAACAGCACTCTCTAGAACCTAGGAACCCATTGTGGTTACCCTGTCAGTGTGTGTGTTTCTATTGAAGTCTGTACTATGAAATACATACCTTTCCATAATAAGTCTACTGATGGCACCGGCCGTGCCACTAGGAGATTCAACAGCTCTTTCTAGAATACTGATCTTTTTCCTTAATCCTTTGTTTTCATTTTCTGAATGGGCAACATCTTCCTCCGCCAGAGCAAGTTGTCTTTGCAGACTACTCACTTCTTCAGTTTTTTCAATCAACTGAGAATGTTAAAAAATTCTTGAGTACATACATGTTTCATCTTAGCAAAGAAAGAATTTTGAATCAATGTGGTAGGAAAATTTGCATAGAATGCACATCATTTGCATATAATTTGCAAGTCATTTACATATCATTAACATGATTAACAGTGTCACATTGGTTTATAAACGGAACAAATTGTGTCTTCAACAAGCAAAATTTCTTCTGCCAAATTGTTATTCGATCCAAGTTCAGAGCAAAACGATATACAGTAAAACCTGTCAAAACCGACTATGACTGGGACTGGAATCTATGATCGGTTTTCAGAGGGAGTCGGTTTATTCAGGGTGGGCGTGACTTCGATTGAAACAACAATTACATGTGCTGTAAATACAAGACAAATGAAAAACACCAAGTTTGCTTCTGTGATTATACATGTATTTACATTTATTGTATTGTTTCAATAAAATAATTTACCAAACAAGACAAGAATATTATGGTATGTACATCAATAAACATTAAAATAACAGATCGGGTAAGTATCGCGTATCGTAACTGAAGGCGTCCATTTTGAATGACATCACAATGTAAGTTCACGTGAGCTACATGTAATTATCATAATTTATGCAGACAGTCAAGTTTTGACTGCTTTAAAGAACATCTTATGTTTTCCGTTCGAATTTTGAAATTTTGGATATAACAATCTGTTGCTCCCACTTGCCGCCATACGTTGCTTCAGTCAGTATACGTTCATCAAAGTGGAAGTATTCATCAACACTACACTGTGTTTGCGGGTCTGAAACTTGCTAACTGAGGTTTCCAAATTCTTTGTTGTCGTCTGCTTCTTCGTCATCATAAACTTCAATCTTGAAGCCCCCTTTACGGAAACATTCGAAAGCACAAAATTGTTGATCAGAATCGTTATGGAAAGAAGAAAACTCAATGTCTTTTGATCGTTGAAGAAGTGATAATGCAGTGTGCTTCACCGCCATTGAAGGTGATGACCTCGATCATTTGTTTTATATCCGGGGTCATTATACTGTCCAGACACCACGCGATGCGTGGGCGTGTGATGTGAAAAACTTAATCAGTTGCTATTGTTTTACACAGGACGTTACTTGTAGTGAGAGATTTGGTATTGTTTCTGTGACGTTCACGGTAAATTGAACACAATGCACACTTTTTAGGTTGGGCAGACCGGATTACTAGACAGTGGATGTGGTGCAACTGGTCGGATGGTCGATGTATTCAGTGTGAATATTGGACTTGGGATCGATCAATGCGGTCGGTGTTCGGAGTAGACAGTGGTTGGATTTCATAGGTTGTTTTAACATAGACGTCTATGGAGAAATTTCAGGGCTACATAAATCGGTCGGTTCTGGCAGTAGGTCGGTTTATCCAGGGGTCAGTTTTGACAGGTTTTACTGTAATAAAATGTATGAGTTGTGATGTAACCAAGGCAACCTTATAAACATATCTACTTACTGCTTTATTTTTTACTTGTAAACATCGTTTAGTTTGCTCTAGCTCATCCCTCATAGTACGACGTAACTGCTTACTGTTATCAAATTCTCTAAATAAAATATACAATTCATTACTTCACGCTTCTAAGTAAAAAATGCAATATAAACAGAACAGTTTATGATTATGCACAATTTTTATTGGTGGAAACATATCACATGACTGACTTACTTCTTCAAAGAGCAGCAATAAACTGTCAGATCTCTGACAGCGTGTGGTCCTGTGCCGTAATTGTGAAGCATATCGTCCACTTCCTGACACGTTTCATTCATAACCGCTTCAAATCTAAAACAATGATGTAAAACGATGATGCACAAAATGTAAGTATTAATAAATTAGAAAATATTGTGCGAATTATTGAAAATTAAATTACGAGTCTCAGTACTAGTTGAATTATGGCCATAAGTCGGGTATACACTGAGGGCGTAGCCGTAACTATAAGTTACCATGATTTAAATATTTTGGCACTGTTGTCACAAATAGAAGTAAACTGTACTTTGATCTTGCATACCCCTGGTACCATCCATAAATAGGTTACGACACATAATCACATCAATTCAAGAACGCCGTTTGATCAATATTCAATCCAGCCATGGCTAAATGGATATATTTTGTACATTCAAGAAGAAATATTCATTTTGGGCTGCCCCGAAGTACATTTGGTCTGATGAAGGATGCGACTAGTGCATTACATCACTATTATTATACCTTTCTAATCTCTGTAGCTTTATTCTCAATTCTTTTGCTTCTCTCCTTGCACGTTCAGCCTCATCTTGTTTATTGCAAAGTAACTGTAGTTGTTTCTGCAGAAGAAAATCAATTTCGTTTGTATGTGGCTGTTGTGATACGTGATTGGATTTGAAGACATGTGAATTGCGAAATGGTCACATGATTACAAACAATTCAAACGAACTTGTGAAAAAAATGTTCTGTGTTCGTTTCAGGCTGATTTTATTAGTGTCCTTGCTTTTTTTTCTTTAAAACATGTACAGTTTGTATTACAAATACCGGTACATGCATATTGCATTTTTGAATACTATGATTGATAACCTTGCAGAAATCTGTTTCAGACTATCAAAAATGTCCAATGCATTCTTGAACTTTACTGGCAAGAAATATGTTTCATTAAAGTGAACATAAAATTCATGCAGAAAGGGATCTTAAAGATATCTTAGTTTGATTATCGTATCCAGTGTTCTCCCCACATAGAACAAAGCATGGTGGCACCGCCCATGCTTGGCGACCCGGCCGACACGCTTGGGCTCGGACCGCCATGCTTACAACTTCACCGCCATGCTAATAGGATGCATTGTTTACATCCATTTGACCCGCTCACACGTAGCACTGCATAAATTATCACCGTCTACGCCACGGCGGTTTGAACTTGCCGGGACAAATTAAACAGTCCCATTGTTAAACACGTGTGAAGTAAACAGACGCTGTCAA